ACGAGGAAAGTGACTTTTTCCTCGTAAGGGCCACGTAAGCTTACTACGACCTTACGACGAAACGTATTTCTCGTAATTTTACGAGGAACTTACGAGGAAAGCTGGTTTCCTCGTAAACTGGAAGTAAACGCGTAGTAATTTTACGAGGAATAATTTTCCTAGTAAAGTTTCCTAGTAAATGCTTAGTTTTCTTGTAGTGTAAGTAAAAGAGAACATGTCTTTACATAGGATAACTGATACATAGGAAGTCTTGGATAATAAAGTCATTACATAAATACTTAAAGGAGAACAACTCTTTACATAGGAGAACATCTACAAAAAGGCATGGGTTTGAAACGTTGTCATAAATACATAGAGGGCATGAGTTCTGGTGAATTATTTGGTTTCAGTGAGAATAGACGTTCCCATAAAACCAGAGCATCTCGTAGGTTTTAATAAAATCTTCGTTAATGACCGTTGGTTGGATGACCTCTTCATTGTTGACAATTGTTGTCTCTTGAACACCAGTTTGCGCCTCGTAGGTGTTACGTAGATGGGTAACATTTTTGGCAAGATCATCATGTTTACAACCAATCCTCGTAATCTCATCTGTGACGGCTTCGTCGACCCATTTGAAAAGATGAACCTCACGAGGTCTCTGGAATTAACGAGGTGAACAATTTGCGAAGCATTAAGAACTTAATGACGTATTGGAGAGAGAGCAAAAAAAGTGAAGTTTGTACCTGTATAGCAATTACACATCTGTAAAACCTCCTAAAAGGGTTCCTTGTTGTCTTCGAGACGAAGATGTCGACCTTGCTACCACACCAACAGTGGGTAGGTATACCTGGCTTATATCGCTCATGCGACGAGGTTTCGGCTGAAGAGGTCATGTAGAATCTGCTTTGGAAGCGATAAGAAATTCTATCTATCTATCTCGGCCTCAGAATTACGTGAGAGAAGAAACCCTAGAAAAATCACCAATTATTGGTGGTATTTAAGGAGGAAGCTTGGTAGATTGATTGTTTTGTCATATGGGCCGGGGTTTGTAAATGGGTTTTATTGCCGAGCGAAGACAGTTAAACTATTTGCTAAATTTATGGGCATTGGGGGTTATGTGTACATGGTTAGGTGGTGTACATGGTTAGGTTTATATTATGTGTACATGTGTACAATGTATCAAGTTTCGCAGGATTAGTTAAAAAACTTAACAAAAGGTTCTGAGTTTAGAATTGGGAAAATACAGAGGAATAGTTTATCAAAGCGTCAATCAAAACAGCCAATGCATGTTGGTATAGAGTGTTTACATGCCAAGAAGACAACAAAAAGAAGCAACAAAAGAAGATGTTATAAGGTGAAAGCGCTATCCAAAAGAGCATTCCTGTGGATATAGAAATCACCCAACTATCAGATGGGGACAGTGCAGTTTGTCCTGTTGTGACCGGAAGTACCACAACGACCACACTTGTTGATTTTTGTTTTCTTGGGTACCTAAAAGAAATAAAATGGAGCATTGGCAAAACATTTTTCATTTGCAACACATATTTCTTGAGTACTAGTAAAACAGTTTTTGAAAACGCGGACTGACCTGGATTTCACCGGTTGACAGAATACGCTTGTCCTTAGGACTCCCAGACGGACGTCGGTATTAGGAGGCTGCAGGTTCAAAGCGGAGATTGTACAGGGGATTGGGATCTCACCAAAGGGTGCCTCCGGATAGATGACACCGGAGTAGGTATCTCTCCATGTCTGAGTTTTGTAGCAATCCCCCACCAGTTGGACATGAAGGAGACCTACAGAGTCAGCAACGAGAAGTGCATGACCACATGTGATTTTTAGTTTTTGGAATACTTGGCAAGAGCAAATTTTGTTGTCCAAGCCAACTGTATAAGAATATCCAAAAACGCCCTTGACTTGATAGCTCCAGTCAGTAATGTTAGAGATTTTACTGCCTTTTGTGAGTTTGATGTGTGTGTCCATAACAAGAGCAACCTCAGGTGTGACAGCACCCTTGTGTTTAGCAGATTTGGTTCGCCGCGCAGAAAACCAACGTGTCAACATCCGTTGAATGAACATGAATAACTCAACAATGGGGGAAGGCCTGGATTTGCTCAAAGCATTGTTGAGTTGCTCAGCGACGTTGCTTGTGAGGAGGTTGTATCTGTTACCTGGGAAGTATGTTCGTGCCCATTTAGCAGTACCGATGTCTTCAATGTATTTGGCACAAGCTGCATTAGATTGCCTGATCTTCCCAAAGTTGTCATCAAAATCTTTGCGTTTGAAGGAAAACGCAGCAGCACATACAAGTTTTGCCAAGCCTTTGCTCTTAAAACGGGGAACAACGTTCCTCATGATATGAACAATACATGCACCATGGTGAGCTTTGGGGAAGACAATTTTCTTAGCTTTGAGCAGGGAGATATGACGATCTGAGATGATAGTGAGAGAGTTGGAGTCGGCAATGATCCTTTCGAGCTTGGTAAGAAACCAGATCCAAGAGCTATCATTCTCTGCATCAACAACAGCGAAAGCAAGAGGGATAACCTGGAAATTGGCGTCTTGGCCGCTAGCTGTGAGAAGGACACCTTTATATTTTCCAGACATATGCGTGCCATCAATAATGAGAACTTGCCGAAGACGACGAAAACCTTGTATGGAAGCACCAAAGGAGAGGAAAGCATAGAGGAAACGGGATTTACCAAAATCATCGAGTTCAGTTTCAATGAATGTGACAGTATTGGGGTTGGTTTGTTTCAGCCTCTCAAAGTATGCAGCCAGGTTTTGGTATGATTCCTCTGCGTTTCCGACTGTGATACCAACAGCTAGGTCTTTTTCCCGGTGGCATTTCATGTATGAAGCATCAACACGCAGGTCTTCTAGTACAAGTTGCTGCAACTGAGCTGCTTTAGGACCCTCGTTTGGTTCACCATAATGAGACCGATAAACATGAGCAATAACTCTAGAGGTGGCCCTGCTCTTGTAATTATCACGCTGGTCCAATGGGCAAGTGTGGGTGAGCTGCGCCTTCTTGATTGTGTAATAACCACATGTGCTGAGTTCTTTGGCTAGTATGCGCCAATCACAACGCTCATCGTGGCAACTAAGGACAAAGGAGTGCCTAGTGGTTCGGGTTTGTCTGAAGTGGAAGCGTTTCTTGATTGCATAGATTGCGAGACCAATTTGACAGTCTTTTTTGGTTGCATATAGTTTCCCAACAGTAGGTTCTCCATCGGTGTCATCTAAGTTAAGATCTGGAACAACATCGGCCTGGTAAGCAACGTCATCAAAGAGGGGGGGGGAATATCAAACTCCTCATCACTGATTTCAGAAAGAGGTCTAGTCTCCCGAGGTGGAGGGGTATCAGGGCCACTGTGGTGAGTATCACGTTGCATGGGAGGTGGTGTGTGAAAAGACGGATGTTTACCGTCTGGGAGTGGTGTACGTGTGTACGCTGAACTAGAATGTACACCACGGGGAGGTGTATCTTTGGACGCGGAACCGCAGTGTACACGCGTACTTTCTCTCTGGTGTACACCTAAGAAATCTAGGTCTTTCTTCCAATCCGTATCATCTTCGCCAGACAAACGAACAGTATGATCAAAGGCACCACCTGTTGTGCACTGGTAAGTTGCAGGAGCTGTTTTTGGAACATGAATCCTAGCCATGAACTCGGCTGCATCTGAACCACCGAGGGTGTCGTCTAACAAAGGGTCCCAGAAGTCGTGGTCATAAACACGAACTGGTACAGCAATTTCTGGAGGTTGTGAACTTTCAGATAAAGTCTCCTCTTCATCCTCCAATAGCCAAGTATCTGGGATGTTGTCGGGATCCTCTTTGAACATTTCTTCTAGCATCTCATCTGCATAGGAAAAATTTTCGTCTTGAGTGGACACTCGATGGGGCTTTGAAGGTTCGACGGAAGGAGTAGCTGTACCAGCAGAATGTATTGATTGGTTCTCAGTAGGAGGGAAAAGGGGCATGTCATGTTGGAGTTCATCATCAGCAAAGAGTGAAAAACTTGGCATTTTGGAGGAAGCGGTTGAAGGGTTTCGGAAGTGGTTGCAATCAGGCCTTATAGGTTGGTTAGGTGTGGAGAAGCGAAGAGGTGCGTCACTGACTTGGCTCAAGGGAGGTTTATTTGTTTTTGAGTCAAAAGTGACAAAAAACTCATGCTTGGGTGTGCTGATAAGTGATGGAAGAAGTAGGATACAGACCCGTCGTTGGTCAGTATAACCGGTGGTGTGGTGAGGCCGGTCGCAAGCTCTTTGGTGTTAGGTGGCCAGTAACTCAAAACAGGAGTAGGAGGAGGTTCCGTGAAGGTAAAGAACTCCTTAATGACATTGTTCTGTAATTTAAGCAGGGGGATGCCAGAACGGACAGGTACAATCCTCGACATCTTCTTCTTGTCTATCACAAAATTCCAAAGATAATTGTCCGAAGACCACTCTCCAGGAATAACCATGCAATGATCCGACATTAGAGTCTGCAATAGGATAAAAGGACAAGAAATTAAATTAAGAAACAGCTACTGAAAAGGTTATTGGTTTGTCGAAGTAAGATACCTTCTCACTGCAACCTAATGAGATGAAGTCAATCCTTTGAGAAAAACATGAAACTGTAAAAAGTTTTGTTTTAAGTCAAAAACAAAGAAGATGAAGAAAGGAATGTTCCTTTATGTACACAAGATAATCTGAGTCGTTGATAATACAAGAAAAAAAAAGATCGAATGGTGAGCATACTAGACAGATATCTGTCTTGTAAAAAAAACAGAGTTCATCTGGACCCTTGGTATGGAGGGCAGATGAACGGTGAGGGTAGTTTCCCGCTATTAATGTGGTTAGGTTAGAGTACATCTTAGTTAAATACCGACTGAGATAGTTGGACCAAAACTAAAACAAAAAGAAGCTGTTACAGAAAGTGTGTGGGTAGCAACAACTGCCTTTTTGTGAGAATAAAAACATAAAACTGTCTTATGGTGTAATATTTTCGTCAAAGAAAGGGCAATAAAATCAACCGATTATCGGGAATCTGTAAGATTTGATTTCCCGACGGTGACCGTTCCATGATTCGATCACCGTAAAATAAAATGGATTCTTCAATTTCTTTCTTCTAAGTGAAGTCACTGAAGCGGAAAGTTAAATGGATTTGGAAGAAACGGCGTCGTCTGTGACGAAGAATCAAAAGAGGGGTTTCTATACGTTTGCTTTGAGATTATGTACAGTGATAGTTTTCTCGGTCGTCGGCTTCTTCTTATTGTCGTTTCTATTAGGGATCCTAGTGGTTCTACTCGGTGAATTGTGGGTTTCTTCTTCTTCTTCCTATGCTTCTCTTGCTTCTCGCTGCAAAATCGTTTCCAGCTGTAAGTTAAAAGCTTTGACCTTTTATAACTGCTCCATCATTAATTGATTGATAGATTTCTTCTGCTTGATGGGTTCCTCTTAGTTTTTAGTAGTACTAATGATCTCTGAGTAGTTTGAGACTGAAACTGATGATTACTTTTTTGGATGATGTAGCTGTTGATCTTAGGTCTTCAAAAGTGTGTGGTTGAGAGAGATAAATTCAAATGTCGCTATGATTATAATTGGGCTTCTGTCTTCAAGGTAGGTCACACTTCTTTCTCTTGTGGCTTTAAGGTTTCAGATATAATCTATCTTTTTGGTTATGATGAGTAAACGCTATTCTTGTTTACAGGTTGAGTATACAGATTACTTGATGGGTCAGACAAGTCTGGCCTTCTCAGAAACACCTAATGAAGCCTTTCCTCCTGAGTGTAGACCTAACTTTGGTGCTGCTTACCAAAGATAACTTCAAGGCAACCTTCTTTTTATCATCAAGATTCTTAGACTGGATATGCTCATTTGTGTTTCGGATTGTAATCATTTTTTGTGTTTGCCAGGTGAATGAAACTTATGATTGTTGGCACACACTAAGTATTCCAAAGATCAAGCTTTATCGGGATGGCTTTTTCGGTTGCCAAGCAGATGATCTTTCTTTCACCGACATTTTTAAACAATACGATGTCTTGTAAGTTCCTTGTGCTTTTCTTTATTACTGTGGCAGTTTCAATCTTATCCATTTCATCATCAGGTTTCTAACACATTGTAGGAGAATCATGATCACATAATCATTTGTACATACGTAGTTTGTTTCTGTCGTAATCATATCAACATCATCTTTGTCTGTTTAGTTTCTCAGTCTTGTGACTCTTGTCCTGTTATTCACTGAAATTATCATCTTTCCACTTGTTTTTTTCTCTCTCCCGATTCTCTAAATTGTTACAGTCGTGGTTAAGTGTAAATGGAAGACGGAAGTACTGGAGATATGATGTGATCGCTGGCATTGTATCAGGCTTCTCAACTTCTATAATCACAGTCTTCATCATACGGATCTTAAGACATGCAAAGTCTTGGTTCCCTCGAGCTTGTTGTTCAGTTAAGAACCAGATTTCTAAAGTGAATCTCTTGGTGCAAGTGAAGCGTGCTTGTTTGGTTGTTGTTTACTTCTCCATTCTCGGATGGATGGCTACACAGTACTTGAAAATTCTTTTTCTAAAGGCTTAGACACAAAAAGAAACACATTCCTTGCGAGAGAGTCGGTGAGTATGTAACGATTTGTAGAGAGTTGTGTGATGTAATCTTAGAACTTTTACAGCATAAGAAAGCAATTTAGAGAACAGCTTTAAAATCTGAGGATTGATTGATGGAATCTTTATACAAACTTTTACAGATCTCAGAAAGTTTTGGTGATAAGTGATATCTGATTGATTCCCTCATATTATGGATGTTACAAGTCATTTCAAGTAGACACTTCCATTGTTTGGTTCCTCCAGCTTCTGTGTCATCATGTGTTACGAGTTGTTTGTAAAAAAACTATGATCTAAAGAGAAACACTGATTGTATTCCAAAAATCAAGCAAATACAAGGTTTAAGAGATTTATAATGGAGTACTCTCACCTCCCCTAAACATGTTTGATCTACTTTCTTAGATACCCTTCTCTCTACTCAAGAACAAACTATAAATAGAAGATCCCAACCTCAGCCACACGCAGTTGACGAGGCCGTTACGAGCACATGGGATGTCCCTCACGTGTTATTCTTTATTCCTTAGAGACAGCTGGCAAGTGATAAGATCAGTTGCCTTCTATAAGCTCACAATCTCTGCTGCATGCTTGATTCACTAATGGGCCGAGCCTTGTCTTTCCCTTGGTTTGATCCAATATATCAGCACACATAACATCATGTTCTTAAGAAGATAATGAAGAGCAACTTTTGGCCTTGCATCTTCTTTCTCCTCCATGTTCCCATCTTCAGAAACCTTACTTTTCAAATCCTTGTTAGCTCCTTCACCATTATAAGTCTCTGGTTTCACTTCTGTCCTTTTCTGATTGTTTGCCATGTCTTTCATCGCTTCTGGGAGGCAAAGTGAATTGCAAACAAAAGGGTAACGGGAAGAGAGTGATAGATAGTTGAATTTGGTGTTAAATTAGTAATCACATAAGTGTCTGGTATCAAAAGAATTACATGTCAACTGAAACAGATAAACTTTTTGCTCTCATGAAGATTTCCCTTCTTCCTTTTTTCTTTTTAGATTCTATAAAACAGGAAAAAGAAAAGAAAAAAAAAAGAGTGTGGGAGTGATTAAAAAACCGTACCAAAAAAGCGTTTTCTCCCACCATTTTGAGTATGTGTGATTCAGCGAGCGACAAACTAAGATCATCTCGGGATTGTGATCTCCGGCTTTGGAGCCGCATTTGACTCCTGCGAGGTGAGGACCAGAAGGAACTACTGCTGTCAACTTGCATTTGAGGACCAGAAGGAACTACTGCTGTCAACTTGCATTTCTCCTAAGCTATCAGAAGAATAACTATGCATAACACTGCTGCTCGATGAGTACAATGAACAAGACTCCATGAGCTGTATGCTGGTTCCAAAACTAAATGGCCGACGCGGTCAACTCCTCACTGTTGGACTCAACGGTGTCTTCACCCCTGAATGAAAAAAAAAAAAAGCTTCACGAATCAATATCTTCAAGAACTGGCCATAACACAAGATTTTATGCAAATTAAATTACATGGGCTCATAGAACTCCATCGCTGGAAATTGAAGGGAGACGGAATGATAAAGGAGGCACTATTGTGTCTAAATAGTGGGAGATATGAATTTCTAAAGAATCTTGGCATACAGTTGCTCACGCGTGATAGTGCACAGAGAAGCAGAAGCAATGAGACAAGTAAACCAGATATAAGAACTATTGGGTTTATCTTCATGCTCAGAGTCTCATAGCTCCTTAGTCCCGGTGTAGAAGATAGAGCCTTCCCTGCTTCCAAAATAGCTACTCCCAGTGTCCAAGTTATACTCCCAGATCCAATTATGATTTGCTTGTTCGTAATATACAAACCTTCTCTTAACAATGAGACTATGTACGGTGCTCTAAAACAGTACTGTTCTATAAATGGTTGTGGAGAAACACTGGTTCTAGCTACTTCCCAAGCCTTTTCACAAAACTCTCTACCCTTTTTCAAGGCATCATCAAGGGAAGCTTCAGCACTTAAATTGAAAAACCGGTTGACCACGAAGAATCCTGATACAGCATAGAACTGACCTTGAGTACGAGGGTAACCATCAGGAAGAGGACAAGGCTGCAAATCACAATCATCTCCATGGTTCGTGTTTGACCACTCAGAGCTATTGACATCAATTTTTGCAAGAGCGCTGCACTCTCCCCAGTTTGGAGCACCTACGAGCTTTATAGGAACCCATGTATTCCCTTTCTTATGTCGTCGAACACTGGGCACACACTGAGAACATATATACTGTCCCTTGTATCCAGAATTCAAGCAAGGCTGTTTCATTTCCAACTTGCCTCCAATCAAATCCATTTTATTGACATCTGGCTGCCTCTTTAAAAGATGAACAACAGATCTTTCAAACGCATCGTTAAGACCATATCCCGCAAGCGAATAAGCACTAAGATGATGGTTAACAAACCCAATTCTTAGATTCAGGTTCGTCTCATTATGCGTCCTCTCCTCGTTCTCAAACGTTACCTGCGATGATGAGCCACCTAAGTCAAGTGCACCAAACGTTGCCTTCTTTGGCACGGCTCCTAACATGCTCGTTTCGTAATTACGAGCCGTCCATCCAAAATAAGCTTCCTCTGTACCACTTATAATCTTAAATGATACAAGTCTAAGCTATCAAAGGCTTATAAAACTTTTGAATGAACAGATCTTCAAGCTAGCGGATAGATAGTATGATGGTGATGGATCGAAGAGCACCACAAAGGCTGCGGATGGCCTTTGATACAACTCACAAGCCTAAGTCTAAGTGAATCCACACAAAGACAGAGACTCACACGTTCCATAGCTAAGGAATCCACCTTATAAGCATAGAGAAACAAGAAACAAGCATAGAAGCTTCAAAAGAGAAAAACTCTATTTTTATTGAATCATCAAGTCTGATTACAAAGAAGTAAATATAAGAACTTATATAAGCTCGACCAAGGCTGGTGAAAGACAAATAAATCAACATAAATAAGAATAAAAATATCAGAATAAATGAAAATACAATCAATGGTTTGATTGATATGGCCATTATTGCTTGATCTTGGCCATGCAAGGGAAACTTTGAGGTTCCTTGTATCTAGAACTTGGGGAGGTAAGTGAGTTGTTTTGGAACCAAATTAATCACTTGTAGAATCTCCAACACCAGCTCATCCAGCAAGAGGAAGATATGGGGTGTCTTGAATGTGAAATCTTCCAAATAAGGCAAGTTGGACCACCCTTGACTTCGAAATTGGATATATCCTAAACCATTAATCCTTTTGGTATGAATCAAATTTTCTGTGTGCTCTTGTTTAGTGTAGAATCCAGGAAAACCGGTTTTGATGAATAAATTCCTCCTGGTTTGAAAGATATGCCGTTTTGAGTGAACATAGGTCATGGTCGGTTTGCTGGTTTGTTGAGCTCTGCGTCTGATTGGCCTCTTGTTCAGATATTGTTCCAGATATTGATTCAGATAAGGTTTTAATGACCACATCACCATTATTTACAGTTGATATGAGAATATCATCAATTGATATCATGATTGCATCATTCCTTCTTTCTTCAAAAAGTTTTGTCCTCAAAACTTGTTCATACAGCATTGTGGTGTCACATGAATGTAGCTGGACCTCCTCTGATGGCTCTTCTTCTTCTGTGGAAAATGTAGGCAGTGGAGACTCACTTGGTGGATCTGGCGGCTCAGGATCTTTGGGCAGAGAGATAATGGACACTTTTAGTTTTGGTGTTGATGGTGGTGCACGCTTGCGGATCGGTCTTCTACCATAACGCTCTTTGATATCTTCAGGGAAATCTATTGGTATGTACCTCTTATCCATGATACTCTTAAGACCTTCCCAAGTAATGATGGCTGGCTCATTGTAGTACCAGCGTTCTTCCTCTTCAAGATCCCATCATGATGCTGCCTCACCTCGTAGTTGATCGATAGCTAGAGGTAGTCTCTCATGTGATGGCAAATGATTTTCCCAAATACAGCTATCCATTTGTGCAGTCCAAGAGAGGTATGATTCAGGACCATATCCTCCATGAAAAACTTTAGGCTTTAACATAGAGAACCAATTTTTTTTTCTTTTTATGATAAGAAATTTAAGAAAAATAAATAAAAAACAAAGAGGCAAGAAGATTTTTTTTCTGGGTTTTTTAATGAGAATAGATTGAAAACAAAAACAAAAGATAAAGATAGGAGCTTTTAGCTTTGAGACCAAAAATGTTACAAGCCTAAGCTATCAAAGGCTCATAAAACTCTTGAATGAACAAATCTTCAAGCTAGCGGATAGATAGTATGATGGTGATGGATCGAAGAGCACCACAAAGGCTGCAGATGGCCTTTGATACAACTCACAAGCCTAAATCTAATTGAATCCACACAAAGACAGAGACTCACACGTTCCCTAGCTAAGGAATCCACCTTATAAGCATAGAGAAACAAGAAACAAGCATAAAGGCTTCAAAAGAAAAACTCTGTTTTTATTCAATCATCAAGTCTGATTACAAAGAAGCAAATATAAGAACTTAAATAAGCTCGACCAAGGCTGGTCAAAGACAAATAAATCAACATAAATGAGAAAAAAAAATATCATAATAAATGAAAACACAATCAATGGTTTGACTGATATGGCCATTATTACTTGATCTTGGCCATTTAGAGCATGAACAACGCGCGGATCTTATTTGGATCTTATCAAAAAGTAGGCGATGGGGTCCGCCGAAATTCTAAGAAATGGATGCAAAAATGCTTAAATAAGATTCAGATCTTGTACTGTTTTGCGGGCTCCACTGCCACGTGGTGACCTGTAATTGGTTCATTTTTTTTAATTTTGTTTTTCTTTTTTTCTTTTAGCCAAAAAAAAAAAAAATTTAAGAACCTTTTTATGGTTCTAGGGTTGATTATGCGCTTAAGGGAAACTTTGAGGTTCCTTGTATCTAGACAACTTGGGGAGGTAAGTGAGCTGTTTTGGAACCAAATTAATCACTTGTAAAATCTCCAACACGAGAGCTCATCCAGCAAGAGGAAGATATGGGGTGTCTTGAATGTGAAATCTTCCAAATAAGGCAAGTTGGACCACCCTTGACTTCGAAATTGGATATCTCCTAAACCATTAATCCTTTTGGTATGAAACAAATTTTATGTGTGCTCTTGTTGAGTGTAGAATCCAGGAAAACCGGTTTCATGAATAAAATCCTCCTGGTTTGAAAGATATGCCGTTTTGAGTGAACATAGATCCTGGTCGGTTTGGTGGTTTGTTGAGATGTGCATCTGATTGGCCTCTTGTTCAGATACTGTTCCAGATATTGATTCAGCTACGGTTTTAATGACCACATCACCATTATTCACAGTTGATATGAGAATATCATCAGTTGATATCATGATTGCATCATAAACCAACTCTCTCCTACAAGTGAAGGGAGACTTCGCGAGTATAGAGTACACATTACCTAGAATCCAGCTTGAATCAGTAGCACGGAGCCTCCTGACACCAGCTGTTGCATACACAAAGAGAGACGTGGTTCTATGAGCATGCTTAGGGATTTGCTTCTCTGTCCATTGAATAAGAGGCTTTATAGCAGTTTTCAAGCCTGTTCTGTTGTTGACAAGCTTATCGAACCATGCTCTGTCTCCATCCAATCATAAGCACGGACACTAGTCTTTCTAGAAATACCTTCTGTCAAAGACTTCATAACAAATTGGAGACTACTATATTTCTTGTAGTTTATAGATGCCTGATAGACGTAAGCACGAGTCCCCGTCCTTCCACAATCAAACATAACGTAATATCTCGACGCTCCACGAGACCAGTTTGTGTACACATACATGGAGACTATATACACTAGGAAAGCAAACAGAAGCAAGTACATAAGAATCATAACCGCACGGATCCATTTACGAGATGGGTTGGTCCCATTAGGGACACCTCCCTTTTCCTTGGAGAAGCTAGATCCATTAGTTATGTTTTGCCGAGCAAGAATGGCTTCTTCAGGATCAAACCCGTGATAGGAAGAGAATTCTTGGAGAGACGCTGAGTGTCTCAACCCATTCTTTCGTCCATTATTACCAAAACTGATGGGATCTGGTAATGAAGTCCCTACATCAGGGGATGGAAGAGAAGATTGTGTAGCAGCTCCAAAACGATTTGATGCAGCAGTGTAAAGTTGAGTGATCCTACCAAAAACCATGTCTTTTGCCTATCATATACTCCACTAAAAGGCCACTAACAGCAACACAAACATGACTTAAAAACTAGCATCTAATGCAGAAGCTCAACTATGTCTTCAGGGGAAAGATGTGAACTGCAAAAAATCAAATCAAATGCATTCAACATAAGTTAGCAAACACAAGAACCAAAAATTGAAAATTTTATTGAATTTAACAAATCAAAGAGTGATCCATCTGCAGTGAAATCGACATTGTGATGATAACCCATGACTCAAATTATGATATAGAAACGTTAGGGTTACGATACCAGGAAGACGCATTTGCCAGCACTAGATCTCGTGCGAATCGATAATCTCCCGCAGATCTGAGGAGTATTAAAGCCACAGACTCAGAGAAGACGACAGAAGTCCGCTCTCTGCAGAAAGAGTCATTTTTCATCTTCCCTAAGGATCAATTTTTCAATATTTGGGGAAATTTTGTAATATTTGAAAATATTTGGGTTGGAAAGTAAATATAAATTTCCTTAAATGCAAATGGTGTTAACTCAATCATATGAGAAAATTGGAAATTATATAGTTTTTAATATATGTTTCGTTACATCTAAGGCTAAATAAATCTAACATTAGAGAAATAATAAATTAGAGAAACATTTTATTTATTTTTCGTCAAGTTATTATAAGAATAATAACTTAAACCGAATATACTTTTAGAATTTTAAAGTTCTCACTAATGTTATTTTCTTACCAGAATAGCCAGCAGCTTTTGTCTGAAGGCTTTTTGGAACTTTAGGAGATTCTCCTAACCTAAAAGTGATTAGTCTTATTCAATTTAGCTCCCACTGAATATTTATCAATTGCTTAAAATATTCAAAAATTTCATATAAAATGCCATCTTCATAGCTAAATTTATATGATTATAATCAGTAAGTTACTTGGACTACAATTTTACTGCATCCACAATGAGATGAGCTTCAAGTAGAGCGAAGAATACAAGATATTATCATTCGGGGTAAACAGTGTGAAACTGTGATGATTAATATTAAGGAAATCAAATAAGAATTAACAAGATGAACGTAACAAAAAAAAATGTTTTAAGCGAGAAACATGCAGATTAGTATTTGATTTAGAGAGTTACGGATATTTGAATTTTTGGTTCAAATCGCATAACGAATCGAATGAAAGTTTACGGATACTTTGTCCACCCCTAATTTACACATGCAGTTTCTGATTAAGCATAAAACTCTAATGTGTCATAGCTCAAATTCATTTTTTATACATTAAAACAGAAGTTATTTGACAATTCTTGAGTGACATGTGTCATTTGATTTTTTTTAAGACATGTTTTCTATATTTATTTCAAAATGTTTTTAGATAAAATTATTCTCACTATCACTAACTGCATTTGTTTCCCACTTTCTAAGCCATATTAACGAAACTATGTTTAACCATAATTTTTCTCTTTGTACCACTAATAACAACAATTATGTAAAACAAAATAAGATTGGTGTGATTTGATATATCATTGTGTCAGCCTCATTAAGATATTAAGGTTATTGGGAACGCTTCAGTGTAAGTATTGTTTACAACTCGCTAAATCATGATTATATATTTATAGCAATTGACCTTTTCGAATTTGGCAGACACAATGAATGAGAATTATGATGGATACAAGGGATGTCATCAAGAGCTTCATGAGTCTAAACATTGTTCTCAAGCCAGGTTTTTAACATTGCTCTATATCTTTGAAGTTTGATCTCTAATCCATCTCATACAATTTTCTTTGTATCTGAATCTCTTTGTATGTTTATTTCCATTTCATTCTTTGATTTTAATGAAAATTTATGTTAGTGGTCAACAGTAGGAGAAGGAAATCAAAATTTCTCTTTTGCTTTTGAGTAGAATTTTATGGATGAAAAGTCTAATAATTTGAGTAATGAGTATGTAGTTATGTTTTATTGTGTCATAAAAAGTGATAAAAAGTTGATGTGTAATCAGTTCACAATCACACTATGATTATTTTGTAGTTTTTCCTAACAAAGTGAGAAAATGTTGATGTGTGATCAGTTCACAATCACACTACGATTATTTTGTAGTTCACAATCACACTACGTTTTTTATACAAGATCGTTTGTCACTATGGTTACTTAATTTACAACTTTTCATAAGTTTGTTATATTTTAATAAATTGGTTTTCTTCTTTGTGGTCTCTCTTGGACATAAATATACCCAAAATTTACTACTTCGCATTTTCATTCACAACAATTTACCATGTACAACTTTTGTTCAGAGTTAATATTATTCCAATCAAAATTTGATTCAGATTACACACGTATTTTGTATAGATAGAATTATACAAGTATTTTTAAAATATTAATAAGCATCACTATGGTGATCCATTTAACGAAAGTAAGCAATTTTTATCTTTGCTTTTTCTCCAAGAGCTCTTAAGTATAAAGTCTTTTGAGAAAAAGGATAATGATTCTGATCAACAACACCTGTTTTGTTTTTCCATGAATTAGAACCCTTGTTTTTGTATTTTCATACAAGTTGTGTGGTTTAATGAAAGAATGATAGGTGCATAGTGATAAAGTTTACTTCATGAAACAAACTGTTGTTAATGCTTGTGGAACCATTGGTCTTCTTCATGCTATTGGCTTACCTCTCAAATCAAACTTTGTAAGTTTGTTAACATCTCTCTATGTGCTTCTCCTTGAGATCAAAAGGGTATAGAATCCCTAACGGTTATCACTTTCTTGTAGCTCTTTTCAGTGGAGGGATCGTTCTTAGATAAGTTCTTCAAGTCAACTACAAATATGACTCCTATGGAGGTTTTCTCTTTCTTATCTTTTTCTGATTTGATGTTTCTGAACTAAATCTAAGTTGGTATTGTTTTCTTCCTTGTTAGCGTGGAAACTATCTTGAGAATGACAACAAAATCGAAGCGTACTTTTTCTCCCCAGCTTCGACATGCTACACATGACCCGAGCATGCACTTCAAAACCACAGTCACTTCAAAACTTACTTTATAATATATAAAATAAGTTAAGATATGCGCCTTTCGCATGATGAGAATTGTATATACAAATTATTTTATGTATTATTATTTATATTATGTTTTTTACATATTATAAAACAAATATATATATATACTGAATAATAAAAATATATGAAATATTATGTATATAATTAAATTAGCGTGTTCACATAAATAAAAAAGTCACACTTGTTTATTTACAATCACTTTATATAAGTAAATATAGAAAATAAAAAATATTAACACAAGGACACCAATTGATTCATCATTGAGGAGAGATCAAAAAAGAGAGGCAGGATCGACAAGGAGAGCCACCGAGAGAGATGTGGAGAAAAGAAACTTCGATCACTTTTTGTCGGGAGAGAGATACAGATGAACGCCAAACTCTCTCAATATATGACATGTGCCTCATAGCGATATATCTTCCACCCCTTAACTAAAAAAGTTTCTTCTATTAACATCTAATTTTCTTTTCTTTTAAACCGAATTACATTAAAAACTATGTCTAAGCAACCGCGTTAATCATAGTCTTAACATCTTAATTATCATAGTCAAATCACTGAATTAAAGTGACTTACCATTTATACGATTCTATTAATCCATGTGTACTTCGATATATCAATAAAATATGTTTAGAAGTTAAAAAAGGTGACTTACCATCTTAATTAGCTCATATTGATGCTATTATTTATTGTTATGTAAACTATCGAAGTTTAGGTTTCTAAAAAAAAGGAAGACGATCTATTTCCCCCTCGTAACTATCATATATCATCAAATCCCCACCTAACTATGACCTAATGCTATATCTCCTTGAGTTAGCGTTTTCAAACATATTTCTCCCTAAATCAATAATTCTAAACTTAATTACCCATAACCCATAATTTTAGCCATTTTATTGCTAACCAAACAAACTAACCTGGTAAACCGAACAAAACCCCAATTCTAGTTGGACCTGGCCCATAAACCACCCAACCCGGTTTATTATTCTTCCTCAGCCGGATTCTGTTTCTTTTTTTCTGCCTCATCCTTTTTAGTCTGTCTACCTCTTCTTTTTTATTCCTCTCATTTTGTTTGTTTTTTATTAATGAAACAAATTCTTATCTGATTAACATCGTTCCAACTCCTTGTTGATGTTGTTATGTACTTATGTTTGAAGAAAGTATTCAGTTTATTATTCGCTTTCTTCACACGATTTTCTTTTTTATGAGAATAATTTCAAAAGAAATATTGTTTCATACCCTCGTACTTTAATAGCGTTAACCAGACGAATATTATATTATTTCTGATTCTTGGATCTAAACTATGTAACGAGAATCCAATCCAGAATTGACGCTGGTTTCTTCAAACAATGGCTTTACTTCTTTTATTCATTGAGGGATAAATAAGTTTAGAACTTTTAATTAATGGTAAAACAAATTGATAATTTTCAATTTGGGAAGATATAACACTAGGTCATAGTTTATTAGGATCTGATGTTATACAATAGTTATAGTTACAATGGGAAAATAGATCGTCCTTCCGTGTAAACTATGGAAATTTAGGGAAGTTTACTACAATGGAAAAGAGAATTCGGCCAAAAAAAGCTCAAACTTTACATGAATTGCCAAAACAAACACGAACATATTGACTGGCAAAAAAAACACTGAACAATATTTGACTTTTAAACTTTAATCAGTAAGTTGTCGCTGACTCGCCAATTAAACACGCCGTTAGTAAATTTGACAGAATGATTGAACATCGTTTGTTAAGATCCGTTAAGTAAAACGACGTCGTTTTGAGATGGGATAAAACGACGTCGTTTTATCTATTTTTATTATAAAAACATGTCAACTGTGTGAGTCGAACCCGAGAACTCTTGGCCAAATTTCAAGGTTTTCTGCCACTGTGCTATTGACACTTTTTAAAAAACCACTAACATGTATTGTTTTATTGAGTATCAAAAAAATCTCGAAAAATCAAAATTCTTTTTTAAAACTTCCAAAAAAATCTTAAAAATTCAAGAAAATTCTGAAAAGGTAAAATTAAAATTGAAATAGCAAATAATTTTTTTTTAAAAAAAATCAAAACATTAAAAATTTGCAAAATTCTAAAATAATTTAAAGATATGCAACGAATTAAATTTAATGATTAAAAAACTTGAAACCTATTTTTATATCGATTAATGTATGTAAGTTAAAATAAAAAATGATATTTATCACACTATATATTTTAGTATGAATAATGTATTTAAGATAAAATAGAAATGATAATTAAGATAAAATAAACAAATGATATTATCACAAAGTGTTTTGCTAAAATATGATATTGAATGAACATACAACAAAAATAAAGATTTCTATACATTACTAGATAATAATTAAATAAAAAAAATTGTAGTTTTTGGTGTATGTTCCTTTGTTATCATATCTTAAAAACATTTTTTATTTTTTTTTGAAAACAAAAATTTTACTAAAACATATAGTGTGATAAATATCATTTTTGTGTTTTATCTCAAATATATTAATTTATAAAAAACCAAAAACGTCCAACAAATTAAAAAATAAAAAATCTAAAAAATTAAAATTAATGATTAAAATAATTTTCTCTTATATAAATGAATGCATGCAAGATAATATACAAAATTATATTTATCACACTATATTTTCGTATGATTAATGTATGTAAGATCAAATACACAAATGATCTTAGATACATTAATTTTTATTAAAAAAAAATTTTAAATTCTTTTACTCATTAGTTTTTTGTCATTTTTTAATCATTAGTCTTTTCGTATTTTTGGATTTTTTAGATTTTTATGAATTTTTAAATTAATTTTAGCGAAAAGTAAAAAAAATTGTAACTTAATTTTTTATTTTTATATTTTTAGAGTTTTTATTGATTTTTTGAATTTTGTAAAATTTTAAGGTTTTTAAAGATTTTTTGGATACTCAATAAATGGAAATATGTTAGAGATTCATCAGAAGTGTCATTAGTTTGGTGGCAAAAGACCATGTTGTTTGGCTTTGAGATCTCAAGTTCGAGTCCTGTGATAAACATATTTTTCGTTTTAAAAACACACAAATCGACGTCGTTTCACTTAACGTCGATTTTTAACGGCGTCTACACTGTAAGATCACGGTGTGTTAAAATGGCAAGTCAATGATAAGTTCTCAAATAAAATTAAAAAGTCAAAGAAAGTACAGTATTTTTTTGGTCAGCTTCGAGTTTAGATTTTATTTGGCAATTCGTGCAAAGTTCGGGATTTTTTTGGCCGAATTCCCCGATGGAAAAACAAATTTAACTATTTTATTGAAATAATTGGGCCCCTAACGTGTCAAGCCCAAGGTAACGCGAGTCGGGTCAAACCTGTCGGAAACAGAATCCAGATGTCAGTGTGAGTGCTCTTCCTTAATAAGAAGAATCGACACACGCTTCTTCTTCATCTCGCTAAACCTCATTCCGAATCTCTCAGGTCCCATTCTCATCGTTGAGTATTATAGATTTCAAATTCAGATGATTCTCGATATCTTCACCCACTTAGATTTTGGGGTTTTTCGATGCTTGGTTCTCAATTGATTCGATTTTAATGTGGTTTGTATCAAAAGCTTCGATATTTTTTTTCAAAATAACTTGTAAAAAAAAGTTTTTAGATTTGATATTTTCTAATCTATCACTCATTCTTTTTATACTCGAGAAAGTGTCAACCTTCTTAGCTGATTAGATGATATTTTTCTTTCTGTAAATAGATATTTGGACGGAGTTGAAATTTACTGTGAATTTTTTTTTATTCTTTGGTATAAACTTGCTTCACCGTTTTATTCGAATTATTGAATTTGCGTTTATCCAAGCTTGAAATGAATAGTTTGTCTGGTATCAGTTCATGTGTAAGTATTGTTGAATCTTCTTCAGGTGGTTAAACCACCTATTGGTTTTGTTTGTTTTTTCTAGATTGAGAGATGACAGATCGGTTGACACGTATTGCTATTGTGAGTTCAGACCGCTGCAAACCAAAGAAATGTCGCCAAGAGTGTAAGAAGAGCTGTCCTGTCGTCAAGACAGGTTCTTTTTTCTCTTATTCCAAAGTTACATTTGTGTTCTTTCATATGGATTTCCTGCCAATCGGCTGTGTCATACCAATAAGTGCATAGGGGTTTGGTTACATGTGAAGCCATTGCTTTGTAACTTTATATTACTAAATTAAATGATACCAAAAAAACCTTTATATTACTGACTTGATTATTATTTTATTTTCTTGTGATAACTCTAAAAGTTTCAGTGCCACTTATACAATGACTTAATGTTTATCTTAGGAAAACTTTGTATTGAGGTGACTGTTGGTTCCAAGCTTGCTTTTATCTCAGAGGAGTTGTGCATCGGTTGCGGTATTTGTGTCAAGGTATGTCTGCATCTGATACTGAATATACTGAACATGAAACCATAACTGGGTCACTAAATACTTTCTGTGCAATTTCAGAAATGCCCATTTGAAGCTATTCAGATTATCAATCTTCCCAGAGACTTAGAGAAAGACACGACCCATCGCTATGGGGTAAACACTTTCAAGTTGCACAGGTGTGTTTATTTATCTTTTATTTTGCCTTTGAAAAAATGATTCCTCTTCTAGTCTTAAGACAATGTAAACTCTGTCTTTGCTTACAGGCTCCCAGTTCCAAGGCCAGGGCAGGTCCTAGGGTTGGTTGGGACAAATGGTATTGGAAAATCAACCGCTCTGAAAATTTTGGCAGGGAAGCTCAAACCAAATTTGGGCCGTTTCACTGTCAGTTTCTGAACTTTTGTCTGAAAATTGCATCTCTGGAGTGTGGACTAGTTGATATATAATAATTCTCTCAACTTGTGCAGAATCCTCCAGACTGGCAAGAAATCTTGACACACTTCCGTGGGTCAGAACTTCAAAACTACTTCACCCGTATTCTAGAAGATAATCTAAAGGTTTAATGTAATTTGACCTTCAACTTTGTTTACAGTGTGTGCCTAGGTTTCTGTTAATGACACAAACCGTGCTTTCTTGTCCATGACAGGCCATTATAAAGCCTCAGTATGTCGACCACATCCCAAAAGCTGTTCGAGGCAATGTAGGAGAGGTCCTTGACCAGAAGGACGAGAGAGATAAGAAGGCAGAGCTCTGTGCTGATCTGGAGCTGAACCAGGTCATTGATCGTGATGTTGAGAATTTATCTGGTGGTGAGCTGCAGAGGTTTGCTATCGCTGTTGTTGCCATACAAAACGCTGAGATATACATGTTTGATGAGCCATCTAGTTACCTTGATGTTAAGCAAAGACTCAAAGCTGCTCAAGTTGTTCGTTCCCTCCTGAGGCCTAATAGGTTTGATTCTTATTCATCTTCTGATTATTTTGGGATATAAAATAAGCTACGTACATTTATTTTCCTTTCTTCCAGCTACGTCATTGTGGTGGAGCATGATCTCAGTGTTCTTGACTACTTGTCGGATTTCATTTGCTGTCTGTATGGGAAACCAGGAGCCTACGGTGTCGTGACTCTCCCCTTCTCTGTCAGAGAAGGAATCAACATTTTCCTGGCTGGGTTTGTTCCTACTGAAAATTTACGTTTTAGAGATGAATCGCTGACCTTCAAGGTAACCTTTTTTAATGGTGCATAAACATTGTCTCTTCACAACGGTAGTCAATACAGTGTCCTTAATGGTTCTTCTTTTGCTGGAAGGTCGCTGAGACTCCACAAGAAAGTGCCGAAGAAATACAGTCGTACGCTAGGTACAAGTACCCAACCATGACCAAAACTCAAGGAAACTTCAGGTTGAAAGTGACGGAAGGTGAATTCACAGACTCTCAGATTATTGTAATGCTTGGGGAGAATGGTACAGGGAAGACAACATTTATCCGGATGCTGGTATTTACTTCCTCCATTATATCCTCTCTTTTGGTTAGAGTTTCAGCAAGTGCTGAATTCCTAAATTGGTATTAGTGGTAATTTTTTGCAGGCGGGTTTGTTGAAACCAGACGAGACAGAAGAATCAGACATAGAGATACCAGAATTCAATGTTTCTTACAAGCCACAAAAGATCAGCCCGAAGTTTCAGAATTCAGTTAGGCACTTGCTACATCAAAAGATTCGGGATTCTTACATGCATCCTCAGTTTGTGTCGGACGTGATGAAACCGCTTCAGATTGAGCAGTTGATGGATCAAGAAGTTGTTAATCTCTCAGGAGGAGAGCTGCAAAGGGTTGCGTTAGCTCTATGTCTCGGAAAGGTGAGTATCTTGTGTAGTCAATAGAAATGTAGATGTTCTTCGTTTCAGTGATCTTATGCATATACGCAAACTTTGTGCAGCCTGCGGATATATACCTAATTGATGAGCCAAGTGCATACCTTGATTCAGAGCAACGTATTGTGGCTTCTAAAGTCATTAAGCGATTCATTCTCCACGCAAAGAAAACTGCATTTATAGTCGAGCATGATTTTATAATGGCTACCTATTTAGCAGACCGAGTCATTGTCTATGAAGGACAACCATCCATTGATTGTATTGCAAACTGTCCTCAATCACTACTCAGTGGAATGAATCTCTTCCTCTCTGTAAGTCTCCTATACACCATAATGGCAAGAAAAATGACCTAATGTTTGGTGCTAATAATTTCATTTGTATTTTCTTACCCTGCAGCATCTAAACATCACCTTCAGACGGGATCCCACCAATTTCAGACCAAGAATCAACAAATTAGAGTCTACTAAAGACAGGGAGCAAAAGTCTGCTGGGTCATACTACTACTTGGATGATTAATATGAGGTTCTGAATCTCTAAAATCAATCACACATCATTTGATGGAGAGCCAATATCTGAAATGCTTTGGTTCTCTCTTTATTGCCTTTATGGATTCACAGAACATAGGGCATGATCTGGAGAAAAGATTGCTTGCATTCCACGAAGGCCTTTTGCTCTGAGAAAGTTGATCTATGAGCTCAGAATACTTTGCGCAACCATCTTTTTTCCAAGGTCAATGAGGGAGATGTTTCTCTTATCTGTTCATCAGTTTTGCTTCTCAGATTTTTCTTTTGCCTTCTTCCTCTTCCAACCTTTTGCTGAATACTTCTCAAGGTTTTTTTATTACCTGAGCAATAAAACTTTCTGAATCCTTTTAACCTTTTATCTTTTGGCTTTTGTACTTTTCCGAATTGGTAATTTAATGTTGTAATGTTATTACATGGAGTTTACAAGAATGTATTATCTACTTTGTACAGCCTAAACTAATCACTGATATAGGAAAATTTCAAAAAACACTATCCTACAGATACAATCCTACACTAACGTCAATAGTACTGTAACCAGGAACCTTCTTTAATGCTTTATCCTCCACTGTCTTCCGTAGCCGTACAGCTTCTTCCCAACCTCCCAATCCGACATATGTATTCGACAATGAGATATAGTAAGATGCATTGTCTGGTTCCATTTCGAACAAAACCTCTGCAACTTCTTTCCCCAGCTTAGCGTCTCCATGATAGTTGCAAGCACTCAACAAAGCTCCCCATACACCTGCTTTCTGTGGCTCTCCGATCCCTTTGATGAACTCATAAGCCTCTCTCAGCTTCCCTGCCCTGCCAAGCATGTCAACAACGCAAACCCGATGCTCAGTGACAGGCTTCACCCCGAATTTATCCTCCATTTGGTTGTAATGTTTTAAACCTTCTTCTACAAACCCCGAGTGGCTGCAAGCTGAAAGAACACTGATGAAAGTGCTCTTGTTTGGTTCCATCCCTGAGATACTCATTTCACTGAACAATTCCATTGCCTTCTCTCCCATTCCATGGAATCCATATGCAGAAATAAGTGAGTTCCAAGCAGCAATTGATCTCACCCCTGAGTTTCTAAACACCTTCATGCCGGTTTCTAGCCTCCCGCAGCTGCTGTACATGTCCACAAGCGCGGCAGAGATGAAAGGGTTAGCTTGAAATCCACGGCGGATGAGGTAACAATGTGCCTGCATACCATAGCCTGTAGACCCGAGCTGAGTTGAAGCTGAGAGAAGGCCAACGACTGTGAACTCGTTCGGCTCTACATCAAGTTTTCTAAATAGCTGAATCGCTTCGGTTCCAGCTTTATTCTGAGACAAAGTTGATATCACACAGTTCCAGGAACATAAGTTAGGGTCAGAGATCAATCCAAAGACCTTCACTGCGCTACCGATGTCTTTACATCTACCATACATGGTGATCAACGTGTTCTGCAATTGGGTCTCAGATTCTCTTAAAGTCTTAATAGCTAATCCATGAAAGCATCTTCCTTCTGAGAGCAGTCCGAGGTTTCCACATGCCGAGATAGTCCCCAGAAGAGTAATCATGTCATGGCTAACTTTCCCTTCATGGCTCATTGCTCGAAACGCTCTCAGTGATTCTGAATGGTTACCATTCGACGCACAGCCATAGATAATAGAGTTCCAAGATGCAAGATCCCTTGTTTCGGATATTGTCTCTAACAGCAAAAAAGCTGAAGTTAGGTCCCTGCAGCCGATGTACATGTTTATAACTGAATTAGCTGAGAGGATATTATTACCAAATCCTAGCTTTAGCTGCCAACAATGTACTGATTTGCCAAATATGAGAGACTCAGATGAACAGCAAGACGGAAGAATTGCCAACACGGTTGATAAGCTAAACTTTGAACGAGAATACTCACTGAGAACTTCCTTGAACAGGCTCTTAGCTTCTTGAGTAAACCCATTTTGCACAAAAGCAGATATCATTGAGTTCCACGAGACCAAGTCTCGATCAGTTGTTATCTCGAACAACAACTCAGCCTGCCTTGTTAAGCCACACTTACCGTACATATCAATAAGGCTGTTGCTTACTACTAATGCTGTGGACTGCTCCTCCCTGCGAACGGTGTAACCATGAATTGATCTCCCCTCTCGTGACATACACATATCACCACAAATAGAAGTTACCGTAACCACAGTGGCGATATCAGGCTGAATCCTATCCGCCATTTGCATTTCCTTAAAAATACCAAATGCTTCTTGAACCATCCCATTCGAAGCAAAACCATTAAGGACCGCATTCCAAGAAATCACATCCTTGCAAAATATATTTTCAAACACGGTTTCTGCAGCATCCATGTCCCCACATTTTGAGTACATCGAAATGATGGAGTTCGCTACAGAGACATAAGCTTCATAACCTGATCTAATAACCATCCCGTGGAAGGATTTACCCAAAGAAAGCTCTTCAAGAGAAGCACAAGCTGAGATAACACATGAAAAAGTCACATTATCAGCTTCTTTTCCTGAAACAGTCATCGACTTGAAATACTTCAACGATCTCCACGGATGACTATTTGCAAGACATTTTGTCACGATTGTGTTCCAAGAAACAATATCTCGGTGTTCCATACGAGTGAACACACACTCCGCAGAGCTCAAATCCTCGCCTTGTGCATAAAGATTCATCAATGCATTGCATAAGTTAGCATCAGATACAAAACCATCCTTTATCGCCAAACAATGAACCAGTGGACACACTTTCGAAAGGTTTAACTTTGATAACGCCGAGAGTGCAAGTACTAGCGTTGTCGAATCAAACTCAGTCCTCTGCTGAACCATCTCAAAGAAAACTCCAAAAGCTGCCGTGGAACGACCATTTTGGTTCAGAGCAGTGATCATACTGTTCCACACAATCACATCTTTCACTCTCAGCTCACTAAACAAACCTAAAGAAGACACAAAGTCCCCTGCTTTACCGTAAAGCGTTAGCAGCTTAGAAGAGGCATGCAAATCTTGAAGAAACCCACTCTTCAGGGCGAAACAATGAATACTCCTCGGAGTCTCTGCCTCTGCTCTCATCATGGAGGATCTAAGTAAATCTCGAAAGAATATAAAGCTCGAATCCACCGTCCTATTCTCTCTCTTAGGCATTTCGTCGAACACGTTATGTTCAATAAGAGTATCTTGAGATAAAACAGCTGAAGTGAAGTGTAGCTCATGATTTTCTTTACTGATGTGTAATTGGGACGAACAGTAACCGGAAAGAAAATTCCGGCGAGTAAATGAGCAGATTATGTGACCGGAGCAATAAATTCTCAGCTTTTCCGGTGAAATTATAGATCTTCTTACCATCACCAACAACTGGACATGTCGGTTTCCCGGCGGCGGTAAAAACATATAATATTTTCGGTTGGGCCCTTTATTGGGTCAAATCATTGGGCCATTTTCTTAAACTGTTTTTCCCGACACTTGTGTAAAATGATTTTTACAACGTACAATTGTCTATTGTCTTTGGTTGGCTAGTAATTATTCCTTTTGGACATGAGTGCGCATCTTATTCTTTTCAGCCCATCTGTTTATAAAAATAAATAACTGAAGACTCCTATAGTTTTTTAAATATTAATTTATTATTGTATTAAAAATTATTAGAAGACATTTTCATAACCGATAAGTCTATTTTCAGGTTTTACGTATAAGAGCATCCACGCCAATGAACCCCCCTTGGGGTTCATCTTTTCCTTTTTTTATTATTAAATTTTTTTGTTTTTTTTTTGCTTTTAAAAAAAAAAAAAAAAGATAGACCAATCACAGACCGTCACGTGTCGTGTATCCCGCGCTACAGTGATGAACTTCAGGAGAGAGAGGATCACTAGAGAGAGTTTTAGGAGAAAAGGGATTATAGGATTTTGTTATTTTAATATTTTTTGTGTTGAAAAATGTGTGAACCCCCCCCATCTAACCCTTTGATGGGGGTGCTCTAACCGTTCTATTTTTACCAATAAACCGTACCTGCACTACATGGACCCATCTGACACATCACGTCTAATATTCACAATATGCTGAAAATTTTAATTAAGCTTTTCTCAATAATGTCCATAATTAAATATAATAATAATAATGTCCATAATTAATGGCAAATTGTATTTTTTTGAAATTTGAATCTCAAATATCCTGATATATAAACATCATTAAGCTCTTACTGAAACAACTTCAATAAAAGAGCTTCTACAATATTCTATAATTTTAATTTATACAATTACATTAAAAAAAATTTACATAATAGTTACATGTATTAAGAAAATCATTATAAAGGAAATAATAAAAATAGTAATTACATTATTTTTTGTTGGCAATTTGTTTGACAAGAGACGGAAGTTGGAAATTTGTTTAAGTACAATCAATCATACAAGGGCTCTTCAACATATGATCCTTGGGGATTAAACTAATGTCTCCAAACCCACAATGGTTTAATTAATAATAGTCTTCCAGTTTTACCAAAATAATAATAATAATAATAGTCTTCCAGATCCGTACTGTACTCGTTAACTCTCCCGAAAGAATTGCATATTAGTATATGTTTCGTGTCCCCGAAAGCATTGCCTATAGTATTTTTTAATTAGTGTATTGATCACTTTTCGTGTAATTCGATAGTAATAGATCGTGTTTAAACTGCATTAGTTGCCTTTAACAAAGTACTACGTACATAGGTTTGTTAATGCACATTGACTTTCTATTTGACTTTGAGATTGATGTACTTATGACGTACACTTGTTTCGTGCTCATCAAACTAAACCTAACCACGTGGCCTCCACATTTACTAGTATTATTGGTCAATACATTAATGTTTAGTGCCCTTGTATCAAAGTCAAAAGAACATTTTTCTTGTTTTTTTGTCAACAAAACAGTTTTTCATAATGAGTCATGACAATCGAGTTGTTATAGTATTGAGTTTCGGAATAATACATATGAAAGTATGGTTGAGTTTTAGCATTCAGCTTATTATAATATGAGCTAATCTGTCGGGATTGAGTTATGTGCAATAATTAGATTATGCGTTGACATAAAATGCTGAGTAATTATATAATTGATGATGACTATATTTTCTTAATAACTACGTGTTCGGTGTTCCTATCATAAACTTTTTATTTAAAAGATCAACTGAGTGCAAATCAAATTGTAAAACCATGATCGGCAGGCGTGGATGACTTCTTTTTTTTTGCATGGATGAATTTTGGTTAGTATAAGATGATGCACTCGACAAGTTTTATTTTAATTAATTATTGATAGATGGATCAATCAGCATCGGGTCAATCTTATAATCACAAAGTTACTTAAATCAAATCTGCTAATTGTCTAAGCCTGATGTCAACTTGTAAATGAATTGCTGCTTAACTTTACATTGGGCAATTAGTGTTTAAGCTCCAAAAACAACATAAACATTGATTGTTTCAAAATTTGAGATCTTCTCATATATGTAAGGGATTTTTGTTTTTGATAGATACTATATTATATATAGCATTGAAATTTTGTATATTGATAAAACCAACAATTGGTTATGAATTGAATGTTTTTTTAATGGCAAACGAACGAGTTATATCCATTACTAATGCACATATATATGATTTTTTACCATCATTTTGTCTTATAGTATATATTACGTATGCATCCTAATGCAAACTTTATTAAATAAAAAACTCGACAGTGAGAACCATACAGAGGACAAAACAACAGTATATGAGCATAAGAATATTGAAATGCAAAATTATATAAAATTATATATTCCAGGATATTAAAATAGATAAATATATTGGTGTGTGACAAGTGACAACTAGCACCTTACGAGTAAAGAGAAAACTATCCATAGTTTCAATAGATACCGCTTAGTGAAGCCCATTGTTCTCCTCTCTATTGATTCATTTTCCTACGTCCCTACGTTTCTTTCATAGCGTAATTACCAATCTTTTTATTTTGGAGCGTAATATTGTTTTCTTGTTGTACGTACACTCAATTATTTATGTCTTCCATATTATTACTATAGAAAAGGCGTCTAAATATATTCATATATAAAAAGATATTTTGGATGGGAAGGAAAATATATGGTCGGTAGACCAATTTCGAGCTGACTTTCCGGCTGATGTAATGAAATATGTAAATGTTTGTGAGGTTCGATCCTCAAAGTTTAAGCGACATTGCAATAACTGATTTGGGCACCAAAATTAAAGAGCTTTTTCGGGTCTATAGTCTATATATACCAAATTACCAATACACATTTAGAACAACTTTGCCTTTTTACATCAATGTTGATCATTATCCATACGAATTAAGACAGTTATTTTGTCAGCATTTTCATTAATTTATGAAATAAAATCTTTCTTTTGAACAAAAAGTTCAGTCTAAACGGAGAAAGTATAATTTCTTAGTACGACTTTTTCGTTCGTTTATTTAAACGATAGTCGATTGAGAAACCAAACCCGTTCTTCTCCTGTTCTCCATACACAAACCTCCATGTATGTAAACCAAGTATAGAAAATCATTTCGGGCACGTATGTGAGAAAATTATATATATTTTTTCAAATGTAGTCCTTGGAGCATATATGTAGTCAAAACTCAAAAAAAGAGGATAAATACGAGCATTATAGAAAATGTGAATATTTTCAACTTTCAAATACCAATGTGACACGTGCATTTTCTAATTGGTCAAAATTGTGAACTTGATATGTAAATATTCTTTAGCCACAATCGACATTTTCGGCTAATAAGTGGAAAAATACAGTAGCTAGAATTTATTCACACCATTTTGATTCTATATCACTTTTCAAATCCTAAATAATACTATTCGATAAGGTTTTTGTTTTGGCGTCTTGAAACTCTTTGATTTTGTCGAATCATGTAACTTACACAATTGTATATAATTAAATAACATATTACCAAAAAGTTAGGTTTTTAGAATGTTTAAAATAGAATAATATAACACTATTCCAAAATTCAAGAATGTTGGACTTCAAACTGATCAACTATCAAAAGAAATAGATTTTTAGGTAGATGTTTTAAAAGTGGATGCTATGCTTCTTCTGTTTTACGGTACAAAATAATAACTTTCATAACATTTTTTTCACATTTGACTTGAGAGTATATGCACTCGAGCATATACTCGTATCTTTACCATTGAATCACACAAGTGCAAATTACATATCAAGATCAAATTTCTAACATCATCTTCTACATTTCCATCGTTCTGTAACGGATTATATATAGATCTTCGTCAAAAAGTATAGGAAAGGAGGTTTAGATTACAAATGTTGATTTAATCTAATTGTCACTAAATATTAGGGATAAATGTCTCACATCGAAAGTTATAAGGAATTTTATCTACTATCTAAGATAGATGGACCACTGCACTTATCACTAATTAATTTTAGGTTGGAAACTCATCTAAGTTAACATAGTATCAGACACACGATCCACGCAATTTAACCCGATCCGTTATTGATCCAGCCTAAAATCGGCTCATCGATCATTGCCCAAACATTCTGAGATTGACGCTCAAAAAACCATCATCTCGAGGGAGCGTATTAGAGACAAATGTCTCACTTCGGAAGTTGAAAGGGGTTCTATCTAATATATAAAATAGATGGGCCATTACACTTATCATCAATTGATTTTAGGTTGAAATTCATCTAGCTTAACACTAAATACACGAATGTGATCGCCACCTAATAACCCAAACTACATTTATATACCCTGTTAAATAACCAAAATTATTCCCCCACCCACCCCAACAAAGTGTGAGATATAGGTGTTTTATTTACAAATTTTCTGCCTGCTGAAGCGAGAGCCTACGGGAAGATATAAATCACATATCATACCAAAACCGTTTGGTGGTATATCATGATTATTCAGTTTAGTGGAAAATTCACGGTTGAAATATATATATATATATGCATCTGTACGTGGCATCCTTACTTCAATAGCCGGTATTTAAACTGAAAGAAAATCTATATATGAAAATCTCGAATGCCTCCACACTGCGCAAACACCATTCCATTTTTCTTAATACAAGAATCTGTAAGAGTTTTGAATTGTTCTAGATTAGAGAATGTAATTCCTCTCTGTCCCTAACCTGACCATATAATAGTTATCTTATGAAATAA